ATATGGGAAGAGTTGGAGGGGAGGGAGTGGGCATGGATTTGATCAAAACACCTTATATGCTTATATGCCTGTATGAAATTCTCAATAAACTATTTTTAAAAAATGAAAATAATAAGGCAAAAACAAACAAAACAACAAAAATTAAATCATTTATAGAATTTCAAGAACAATAGTTTATATATTACAACATGGCATTATCTGATTAAAAAGTAGAAAAGCTACTTATTAGCTTTCCATAATTTCTATACTGATGCAGTTAAAATTAGGCATTTCCAGGAGCATCACAAAAAATTATTTTGCTTCCTATTAGTGGGAGTCCGTTAAATGATATGCATACATTTCTAAGACCATAAAACCACTAGAAAAAATTTAATAATCAATTATAACACAATAAAAAGTCCCCAGAAAAACCCATGTACTAGCTTACTTTATTTGTGGGTATTATTATTTTACAAATCCACTTTTCCTTATTTACTTTCCATTAGTTTAAATCCACGAGGGGTGCAGCATCACATGGATTCTGTGTCCAACGGCCTTTGCAGGAAGGTTGCTTTGGAATCTGGTACAGACCATGCCACTGTTTCTATGGGCCCAGGTTACCTTTCCCCAAATTACTCTGGTTTTGTTTGCTTTGCCACCAGGAGTCACTGTGCTGTTTTTTGCTTTATATACATAAACACATCTCTTGCTTAAGTAGAATTCAGTTTTATCTTAAGCATAAACACCTTCGATTTTAAGAAGGTTGGTTCCAAAAGACCGCGCTTATAGCCAGCAAAACTGGCCTTGCACCACAGCCTTCCAGACATATTTGCCTTTTAGAAGTCCTGTTCCTAGCAGAACCCAGGTATCCTATTTGTGGGGATTTTATGACTATTCTTGGTTCTAAACTTTGTCCTGTTATAAATTAAACTATTATGCTCTTAAAAGATTTATAGAACAGCTGTTTTCAAGGAACACATTTACAAAATTTGAAATTAAATTAATAATTAATTAATTAACTTGCGACAAAGTCTTACAACATAGCTCAAGCTAACCTACAGCTTGTTATATATGCCCAGGCTAGCTGTGTGCTTGGGATCCCTCTGCCTCTGACATCCATAAGTGCTAAGCTTACCAGCATGTACCACCAGACTTTAGAAAATTATTTTTGTGATACCTACTCTTGGTCCCAGTTCTCCAAGGGGTCCAGTGGGTCCTTCTTCTCCCTTAAAAATAATCAGAATATATCACGGGATAAAACAAATGTTTAAAACTGAAAACCTTTATTCTTTGTATTTATTTTGAAATATGAAACTTGTTAGGGGATTTAATAAAAAAATAATGTTATAATTTTCCTGTATTTTAGAATCATATTACTCCACATTTAACATTTCTGGTTAATTTTTCTGATAAATTTTTTATTGAATTTCTGCGTATTTCATGCAGAACATCTTAATCATCTTTTTGCCCCCTTCCCCATTGGTACCTCCCATAGCCCTCCACGCCCCCACTGAATTCATGCATTCTGTCATTTGTATTAAGGCCTATTGAATCAAGTTAGTGTCCCCAGACATCCCTCAGTGCAAGTTTATTCACTGAAGTCTAGTCAGTCTATCTAGAGTCCCTCCCTTTAAGAAGATTAGCTCTTCTTCGTCCAGCAGTAATCAGCTGCCAATAGTTCCTTGGCTAAGATTTGGGCCTAGTGCCCATTTCCCCAGCTCTATGCTGGGTTTTTATTTGCTTGAGTTTGCATAGGTCTTGTGCATGCTGACACCATTGCTGTAGGTTCATAAGTGCAAAGTCCCAGGAGCCTGTAGGACTCTACTTCCATATGGTCATGTACCTCCTCCCCGGGTCTTTCAATTAGCCCACATTTACCTCAAGAGGGAATGTAATATTGAATTACTTTTAAATTGAGAGATAGTGTAAGTCAGATAGAGATAATTGGGTGCACAGAAGAGTGATTAGGATATCAGGATTAGGAATCACTGAGACCATTAAAAATAATCTACCTTACTGGGTACACAGGAAATCAATATACATTGGTGTATTTAAAAGTGACTTATACAGAACATGTTTGCTTTAGGCACATTTTGATCATTCATTCATCCTCCCCCTTCTCCTTCTTTTAAAATACATTATTTATTATTTTTATTTTATATGTATGACTGTATTGCCTACATGTATGTAAGTGAACCTGTATTGTGCAATGCCTGGGGAGGTCAGAAGAGGTGTTGGATAAGCTTGTCCTCTGCATGGCAAGCCAGACTAGCAAGCAATAAATAGATGTCATCTTCTCTAGCTTCTCCCCTGGCTTACTTCAAGCTAATTGGACCCTATGACTCTCTGTAGGAAGGAAGAGGCAGAAGGACATAGTCTCCCTTTCCACCCAGTCAGCCTTAACTGTATGAGGGGGAGGGACTATGGATAGACATAGGGGATTCCAGCATGAGAGAGAGAGAGAGAGAGAGAGAGAGAGAGAGAGAGAGAGAGAAGAAGGAAAGGGAAAAGCATATATGCTTAGGGAAGGCAGCCTGGGCTAACCCATGGCCAGCCAAAATGTAGGGAAAAAGAAAGAGCCCAAGGGTGCTCATTCTTTGTAAGTACCCCTCACTGCCATCACATACTCTGTTAGTAAGCCCAATACATATTTGTATTACCTAAACTGTAGTTTGGAGGAATAGTTTCTCTATTTGTCCTAAGGACGGTGGTAGGAGGGGACTGCAGTGGGCCTGGAAGCTAAGGGCGGGTGCCTCCCAGCAGTGATTTTTAATACAAGAGGGCATCAGATCCCATGTAACTGGAGTTATGGACAGTTGTTACTCGCCCTATGGGTGCTGGGACTCAAACCCAGGTCTTCTGCAAGGGTGGCCAGTGCTTTTAACCACTGACTCATCCCTCCAGCCCCACTCTTCCTTCTTTTAAAGTAGAGTCTCTTATTTAAAATAGAGGCCCATGCTGGCCTCAAACTTGTGATTCTCATGTTTCAGCCTCCCAAGTCCTGGGATTGGAGGCATGCACCACTGAACCTGGCACAATATGTGTGTTTTAAGTTTCAATTCTGTTTCAAGCCCTAGAAATATAAAGGTACATGCATCAGATCATGCCTAAATGGGAATTACTGTTAAACAGCTTATTCTTATAGCCCCAATCTCTCACAATCAAATTAGCTATAATTTCACAAAACAAAATCCTGATGAATACTAAAGGCAGAGACTGAAGACGAACATAATAAATGATAAATAACTTCTAGGAGTTATTTTCTAAGAAGGCAGAAAAGTGACAGATATATTTATGAAATATACTAATTTCTTCACCCTTACATAAATAGCTGGTATTACTAGTTAATGTTATCACTCACAACAACATATATAGACCTCCTTAGAGACATATATCTTATTTATTTGATAAACATTTTGCTTAATTCATAAGTCAATTAAAATACAATTTATTAGGTCACAAATATAAAATATTCAGAAATAGTAAATATAAATTCTAGTACATATGAGTTTGATTCTGGGTTCAGATTTTTTAACATTCCATTGGAGACCACCAAAATAAATCACTTAATGGATTCAGAGCTTTGTAAAATGCTTCCAAGTTCTACCCCATAACTGCCAATAAAAATAGCAATTTAAAATCCTTCACAAAAGATTGTCCACACTAAAAAAAGTTTTTCATTAAGCAAAAATTGAAGTCTTGCAATAAGAAGGGAAAATTAAAAACTTGATGACTAAATGTTCTGTTCCTTCATACCTGAGTTCCTTTGAGACCAGGAGGCCCAGGAGGCCCTCTGCTTCCAAGGAGTCCCTGTAAAATCAATGTAAATACAGAAAATAAAAATTATAGATCTATTCACTTTTGTTTATTCTTAATTTTTATTTTTTATATTTTATCTAGTATTTTTATTTTATGTGTATGAGTGTATTGCCTGCATGCGTGTTAGTGTGCCCATGTCATGCAGCGTTCTCAGAGGTCAGAGGAAAGCATCAGATTCCCCTGGAACTGGGGTTATGGGTGGTGGTAGCCACCACACGGGTGCTAGGAATCAAACCCACATCCTCTGCAAGAGCAGTCAGTGCTCTTAACCACTGAGCCATCTCTCCAGCCCCTTGTTTATTTTTTTAATATGTGTATGAATGTTCTGCCTGCATTTATGTAAGTGCACCTATATGCACAATGCCTGTGGAGGCCAGAAGACAGCATTATATCCCCTGGAACTGAAGTTAAAGACAGTTATTAGCTGTCATGTGGGTGCTGGAAACCGAACCTGGGTCCTCTGAATAGCCAGTGCTCTTAACCACCAAACCATCTTTCCAATCCTCTGTTAACATTTTTATAAACTAACATTAATACAGAGGTGGGGAATACTATCAGGTATCACATAGAAAATATATATTTGTTAAGAGACCAGTAGAATCTGGAACGCATGCCAAAATGCAATTATCCTCTGAGTGAAAACTTATTCATAGTAACTATCACAATGATCGTTCCAATTCACATGACCCCATACAACATCTATTCAACATGCATTTTAAATAAGCCTCTTCTAAGAATTATACTTTGCATTATTGCTATTAGTGATTTTGTAATAACTAAAACGTTTTTACATACTTTTAACTCTAGTAAATAACTATGAGAGGTCAAAGAGAAAATCTACCTAGTTGGCTTGCATTTTTAGCTTTGGAATTTGTCAATGGAAAACTGCATGAGAATCTCTGCTAAATCTTGCTTGTTTTTCTTGTTTCTATGTTTTAAACACATACAAGCAATGAAAAATCATTGATTAGTCTAAGTCTGTATCATTGAAAGCTTATTATGCGAATATCCTCATTCAAGAAACTATAACACTTAGGACAGAAACCTAATTTTTTTTCATGGGTTTTCTTATTTTTAAAAGGAAATGACAGTTAGGCAATGGACATGGGTCTGTGATGTTTCTGCCAGTCCAAAACATTAATGATGTTATAGGCAAAATCACTTAATCACTTTCATTTTCCCCAAGGAAACATTTGTTTCCACATTTGACCATGCGGTTTGAAGGGCAGGACTCTAACCCTGACTACAGTGGGGGATGTGCGGGGAGACTGAAGTCAGCCAGCTTGTTCTGCATCCCTAGAGACAGTGATGGGCTTAGCAGTGAGCAAGGGACTGTTCCCCAACCCCAATTCCAAACTTCAGTGAAATTACTGGGAAGACAGGATGGCCAGAAAAGATGACACAAAGAAAAACATAGTGTGGTGTGTGTGTGTGTGTGTGTGTGTGTGTGTGTGTGTGTGTACTGAACAATTTAGTATTGGTAAAATATCCAAGGTACTGGGGCTGGAGAGATGGCTCAGCGGTTAAGAACACTAACTGTTCTTGCAGAAGAACCGGGTTCAAATCCCAGCACCTACATGGCAGCTAACAACTGTTGGTAACTCCAGTTCCAGAGGATCTGACAGCCTCTTCTGTCCTCCGTGGGCATTCATTGCACAACACAGGTGCACTCGCCTACATGTAGGCAATACATGCATACACATAAAATAAAAATAATAAATTAAAAAAATAAATAAATAAAGCCTTTAAGAAACGCACTTACCTACATGCAGGCATAACACTCATATACATAAAATAAAAATAATAAATAAAACATTTTTTTAAATGTCCAAAGTACTATCAAACTCCAGGACTGGCTTCTGCAGAAACAGACAAACAAATCATAAAATTCATATAGAACTGCAAAGGACACCCTCCCAATAGTACGAAATACTGAAAAAGATAAATAAAGCTGGAGGTTTCATGCCTTCGGATCTTATAATGTATTATAACACTGACACTGAAATAACCAAATTGGACAGTACTAGCTTTAAAAAGATGCATATATTCAGATCAATGGAATAGAACAGAAAACCCAGAAATAAACTCCATCAAAAGATCTTTGCAAGGGCTCTACAAAAGAGAAATCTCTTCAGCAGTGTTGAGAAAAACTAGTTACTCACATAGAAAAGAATGAAATTGAATCTGATGTTATATCTTACTCAAAATAAGCTAAAATGGGTTAAAGACTTAAATATGAGATCCAAAACTATGATTTCTATAGAGAAAAACTGCTGATGACAGTGATTTATTGGATATGACACTAAAGCATAAGCAAAAAAAGTACAGACAGACACGTGAGATGATACCACGTTGAAAAGAAATCAGCGTATTGAAAAGGAAACCTACAGTGCGGGGAAAAGGCCTGCAAGGCATACACACATCCGACACAGGGTTGATACCCAAAAGTACACAAGGAACTCCTACAGTTTGACAGAAAAGAACCAGAACAACCTAATTATAAACTGAGCAAATGACTTTGCGTTTTTATTCAAAAGAATTATAAACAAGATTGCAGAGATATGTATAGCTTTATTTATTGATACATTATTTACAATAGCCAAGGGTGTAACTAACACAAGTATCCATTGATAGATTAATGAATACATAAAATATGGCACATACAAAGAATACAATATTTTTATAGCTATAAAGAGAAGGAATTCCTGTAACATGCTCCAAGGTAGATGAACCTTAACGGTATTTATTATGCTAAGTGGAATAAACCAGTCTGAGTGCAACAAATACAGCTTATATGAGGTATCTAGCTCAAGCACTCAAAATCATAGAAATAGTCAGGAAATTGGGGTTACCCTGAGCTGGAACAGTGAACAGTTACTCTTCAGTGGGTATAGAATTTTAATAGTAGACTAATAGAATTTTCATGCAATATGAAAAAGTTCTAGAGACCTGCCTTACAATAACATGCATACATTTTAAATATTACAATACTGTACTGCACACTGAAAAAGCTGTTAAGAAGGTAGATTCCATGTTACCTGGGTTTTACACACACATGCACACACATGCACACACACACACACATGCATGCACACACAATTTTCCATATGCTGGATGCTTGAGACATGGCTCAGCATTTAAGAATGTGTACTGCTCCATCAGAGATTCTGAGTTCAATTTCCAGCACTCACGATTCAATGACCTCCATCTTCCATCCCACATATACACATAATTAAACATAATAAAATCTTTAAAAACACTTCATAGACTTGTTGGTACTTACACACCTCAGTTCTATATCTAGTGATTTACAATCTGCTTCCTATTTCCTTTTTCAGTATGATGGATTTTGTTTTCTGTCCTCTGTGCTGTTCATATTGTAGTTTCTGTTATCCCTTGGCTCCACTTAGCCAAATTCAATCAATTTACTGAAATCCCAGTTTCTCTACAAGTCTCTCAGAAACATGGTCACATGACTTCTCCCTTCTTTAAACCCTTAACTACTCACTTATCATGTATTGCCTAGTTATCATGTTTTGACTTTTTACATGTGGAAGATTTGTGTTTCTAGAAGATTATAAATTCCTAGTACACAGACAGACCATGTTTTATCTTGTTTTCTAGTTACTACTTAGCACAGTACAAACAGTAACTCAGAAAAAGTTGTGCCATTATACAAACTCAATAAATATTTCTCAGTTGATTAAACACTGCCTAGGAAACAAAATGGTTAATATAAGAAAACTGTATATAAAATTGTGATTTAGTAGATAACTCTAGATGCTCAGGGCTGAGTGCAGGTGATCTTGGAGAATGGTCTGGAGTTGCATCTTTGGCTTACCTCTGTACAGATAAATATGTGGGACTGGTGTAAGCCAAGGCAAGAACTATTTCCCTATATCATGCAACAGTCTCACAAATAGTAGGCTTTCTTTGAAAACTTATCAGGGCTGTTATATAAGACACAGTTACAGCTGGTTTAAGCATTCCTAATTCCATAGCCAAAGGAGCATCACAAGCCATTAGAGAATCAAGTATAGGATTCCTCTGTTTACTGGAGAACAGAGTATTTATTGGGTCCTCTTACTTTCTGCAGCAAGCAGCAGCGGATGTGGTTTTGCTAATGTTATGGAATTCTTGAAAGCAGATTGCCAAATTGGGAGGCTCTCAAGAAGGCTTACTGAAGAATGTTTGTATCTATATACAAATTTACATGCACACAGAGCTCCACAATCAGTAGAACCACAATTAACACAAGTTTTCAACCACAGTTTGAGGTTTTTAGTCCACTGGCAGAAATGAACAAAAAATAAAAGGCTTCTTTAGAGCTCTGCCAAATTGCTATGGAAAGAATCCCCCCTTTTGAACGCGGGGTAACCATTTATTTCAAACACAGTGTGTATGATTTTCTTGGTGACCATGTTACACAGCCTCAGTAGAGCTTCAACCATTCACATCATTCCCACCTCACAAATAAGACATGTATATGAAAGCAGAGGAAGTTTTAAGATGCTTCTCTGATAGAATGTAGACAGCTAAAGGGAAACATCATCAGTATGTTTGCCTTTGTTCTTTCTGTTTCCAGGAAAAAAAATACTTCAAGGCCAACGGGAACAACCAAGAATACAAGCAAAAAACATCAGATCTCTCATCCTTTGAAACATAAAATAATATTCTCCCTTTAATATTTTCTGGTTCTTTTGATAAAACCATTTTTTTCTAAAATAATTTTTTAAAATTCATATATATATATAAAGTAAATTGGATTCACAATGTTGGTGTTAATGAATCTATACATTCATATCTATTCAATAAATAGATAAAATTCTCTAAAAGTGGCCATTACTCACTGGAAATTCAACCACTGGTATTTATTAAGTATCTAGCTTTCAGGATTTTTGGCCTCACTTTAAAAAAAATTGTGTGCTTGTATGTGTATGTGTGTTTATACATTGTGTATATATGCATGGGTGTGTGTTTGCCAAGGTGTG